GTATAAAAACTGGTAAACGTAGCAACCAAACAATGAACATTAATTCTCACATTATACCAGTTGTCCTTCGTCTTCGCCGAATGAAACTCTTCGCATTAAATATCCAGAATATCACAGGATTTGCTGTAGAATTCAGAGGTACTAAATGCTTGAAAGGAAATAAAGCGAGATAAGCAAGATAAAACTCACATTACGCTTGGACAAAGTGTGCTGATACATTAAAATGGCAAAGTACAAATCATGAAAACAATAAGTATTACGCTGATCAGAAGAGTCATCAATATTAACGAAATAACCACATGATATGTAGGATGATGGCACATGCTTTCACAATCCAATGGCATATCAAAAAGAACTGTATTGCTGATTAGTTAGTTATAAAGAGATGAGTATCATGAGTACAAGTATTCAAGCTAGCAGGAATACTGTGTTTCATGCACGAAGCATGACAAGAAATTAAGCTGTTAATCCGTTTTGCCAGTTCAGTGTACCATAAATTCGAAATATTTTACTCTAAATATAATCGTGGACACTGTACAGTACTAACAACGATTATTAGTGAACAATTATCTCTAGACTTTATATACATGTATAAAATCATATGAAGGTAGGACGGTTTTCTATGAGGTGAGTGGTTCATCCACCAAGATTAAATAGATACAAAGTAAGCACTATAGCTCTTGCTTAAAGCATAATTTAAACCGTACCACCTACTTAAGCTACAAATCTCAACTTTTCTCAATACACATATTCACATAGTTTTTCTCTACTACACAGTGTACTGCTTCACTGAACTTAGTGATGCCTGTAACAGAGTGACTAATTGGAAAACCTCCCCCCTGATCTACCTTTATGTAATATTTAAACTTTTCAATTAGTTCCCCCTTTTCTGATAGACTGCATATCACTGTATCTGAAATTCGCATATCATTTGTTGACTTGGTTCTTATTATTTGTCTTTGTTCTTGTGAAATCTTTAATTTTAATGTTTCTTTTTAAGCATATATCATTATGATATTGTTAATTTGTTGTTTTATCACTGCGATTTTGTCTGAATAAATCAAGATGATTGTGATCTTGAACTATCTACGGGAACGGCGGTGTGCGATGCATGACAACAGAGCATCGATCCCACCATTTTGGTGAATATTCTACTTGATTCTTAGATAACTCTTTAAAATTGCATTTTAGTTAACTTATCTGTCCGGGATAGATGTCTAACAGCATTGTTGAGATAATTTTGAGTTTCCCATGCTTTTCGAGCTGAGTAGTATGTCAGATTCCATCTCAAATAACTGTCATTTTTCATCTTTGTTCAGAAGCTTTATGACTGCGCGCAATTCAAAGAAGTTTTGGTCATCCATACATCAGAATGCAAAGATTGGTTTCCTGCATTTTAGACCACAGAAAACCGGTTTTAATAGTCACAAGTTCTGAGACAGCAAACTGAATAGATAGATCGTCAATGCATTACCTATATAACTACTTAAAGATCATAAATCATTCATTTTTTCTCAGGAGTATGTACGAAATAATTTTGAAGAGATTTGAGCACTTTTGTGAATAACGAAATTCAAAATTTTCTATAGCTGGTTTGTAAGGATAAGCTTATTTTTTCAAGAGTTGATCACAGGTCGGTATCAGTTGAAGAACTATTGAAAATCAACAACAGAGTACTGGACAGCTGCTTCATCGTAGTTTGGGAATCATCGGCAGTACGCGAATTGATAGATGCTAGAAATCATGGGCCAATGAATGTGGCCCCAGTGGCTGGATGGTATACGAGCTTGCCTTATAACCTGAAGGTCCTGGATTTGAAACCTCAGTGGTTCAGTGCGTACTATCAATGATTCTTGAACCAGGATGACACAGCTGTAAAGTGCTCTCTGGTTTTCAATGATTCTCTAACTCATATGAATCCATGATCAACTCGTAAAACAGAATTCAAAATTGTCAATTTATATCTGTTTTTTCAAAAATTGAAATATAACCACGATTTTATGAAACGGAAACTAACTTGGATAATTGGTGAATACTTCATTAAATGTGGAGCACACTGTCTCATATATCCATAAGTAACGAGTAAATTCCAAACCATAAATGGACACCAACAAATAACATAAGCTATTAGTAAATGAAATTATGATACAAATTGGTCTCTTTACAACTAACAGAAATCGTTAATTAGGATAAACAAGTTTGTTCAAATAATATATTGAATAAAAGGCTACAACGAAACTAGGACGATACAGCTGTCCAGAACTCCCAGATTTTCTAACGGTTCTCTAACCAACGTCAGTTCATGATGAAATCCTGTAACCAAAACGCTAAGTGTTAAGTGACAGACTTGCAGGTCAAATGAAAGTCAAAGATGTCAAGAATAACATCTTATACTGAGGGGAAAGCCTTTCTTTGAACACGCAGTGCAGCTGGGACTAGTCACAAGAGAGATTAAGATGCATCTAGTCTCCAGTTTTGGTATTAGCAGAATTCTGTCATTAAAGTGTACAGTATGGTCACCAATCTAGTAACTTGGTATTAAGGTGCACTCTAAACTGATGTTAACTCTTTAGATGCAGTTCTCGGGAAATCCTGGTTGAATTCTGTCAACACTAATGAGCTAAGGAATAGACTCAAGACATTGATTACTTTCAAGTTACCAATCATTGTACGGGTGTTAAATCTTCACAAAAATTAATTAGCCAGCTCGAATAACTCGGTGGTTGCTTCTCTGATGAAAACACTGAATGGTGCACCCATCTTAATCTCTGAACACGCCATTTCCCTCGATGATGCATGTATGTCTTCCTGAAGGGTTTCAACAGGCGAGAAATCAGGGTTCAGGTCTACTATCCATTTAGCTTTGTTAGCCAATATAGCAGCAAGTTGTGAATCCGGTTAAATTACAGATGTGTCACGCCACATGCAAAACGTAGGCTGAAAATAAGAAGCTACGTAGTACAATAAAAAGTGTAATGTTTGTTGAATAAAGTTCCAAGATTAATAAAGGATTGATATCAAATAGAGAACCATTGAAAACAAGCACTGGGGTACTGCCAGACAGCTGTTTCATCCTAGTTAGGGTCCCCTCGAAAGTACGCACCCACTGGGTTTCGAAACCAGGACTTTCAGGTTATAAGGTCACCGTAAAGACCTATCAGCCACTGGGATCCGATTAGGCGATCAGTCAATAAATTCTAATCTACCAATTCGTGATTTTAACGCGACAACGAACCAGTATCATCAGTTGCAATTTTTGGATCTCATTCTCAACTAGGTGGACCCAATAGAAGTTTGAATTCATGGGTTATTTAATCAGACTTCAGTAGCTGAATGGTCTACGAGGCTTGTAACTGGAAGGTTCCGAGTTCCAAAGGCGGTGGGTGTGCACTGTCGACAAAATAGCTGTCCAGTAATTTAAGGTGGTTTTCAGTGATTCGCTAACAGAAATTCATCAATACGTGATGAAACTTGAAATAAACGAGATCACTACGAGCAAGCCTTTGGAAATTAATAGTGTTCAATTGTTTGAGCTACAACTATACTATAAAGGATTTCACTTGACATAAATACCATTTTCACGCATTCATATTTGCAAGTAAATTATTTAGAAATAAAATGCTGCAGGTTATTTCTTATTAACAAAGCAAATGAAAGAAAAATGCAAAACTTCAGGGAGTCTGTCTCTGGTTGCATACGAATGTCTTAAGAGCTCTTTATTTAAATTGGGTAGACAGTTTAGCAGGTTTGAACAGGAACACATAAAATTAGATCTGAAACGTTTGTAACAGTAATTATCTTTTGAGTTGTGTGAATAAGGACAGGTGGATGGGGTGGTGACGGGCACCCAATTGGATCCCATCTTGGCCGATCTATTTCTAAGTAAACTAGAAAATAGACCTTTGAACAACCTTATCAGAAAGTTCTCATTTTATTGCCAGTATATGGATGACACCTTCATTCTTTGTGATAATGATTTGGATGGGAGTACAATAATTACTGAATTGAATGAAGTACATTCGGCTGTGAAATTCACGTGAGAAGAGGAGTCCCAAGACAAAATTGACTTTCTGTATGTCTTCCTTACAAGAAAACCAGATGATAGCGTAAAAAGAAATTTGCTGAGTAAAAGTTCTTGGACAGGACAATATACAGATTTTCATAGCTTCGTTCCTCTCAAGTAAAAAAGAAATTTAGTGAAGACCCTCAGCCACAGAGTTAGAGCTATATGCTCAGAAGAAGTAAATGAAGATGAATTAAGCATTGTATATGATACTTTAACCAAAAATGACTATCCCGAGAAATTTATCAAGAAACACATGACAAAGAAAGCAGAAAAGGATGTCTCACTACCTGTAAACAAGAAGCCACTTTATATACGACTACAATTCAAGGGCAATATACCAAGTGAAATAATTACGAAAAAAATTAAGAAAATCAGTTCAAAGGATTTTTAGTGCTGGCAAACTACAAGTCTTATTCTCTACACGACCAATGATGATTCCTTGGCTGAAAGATGAAGTACCTAGATTAGCCATTTGTAATTGTATCTACCATTTCAACTGCACTTGTAGTGGAGCTAGTTATATTGGCCGTTGCTCTAGGAACTTGACTTCTCGTGCTCACTCGAGAGCATCTCCCACTACGGCTAAGTAGAGGTGTAGTAAAAATCATCGACAGACCATCTAGTTCAAATCGGCCACAAAACCAGCGTTGAAGGATCCTTCTCTATCATCTACTGGGGGCTTAATAAATTGCTAAACACGTCAAAGTACCACATGGTTAAAACAGGATAGGCTGTCGCAATTCGCGTGAAACAATCACTGCTTTTGATGTGGTTTTGTTCTCTGAGCTGTATGGTTAGTTTGCGAAGCTTTCATCACCTTACTGGGTGACATCTTCAGCGCATACTTCAAATTGAAGTATGCGCTGAAGATGTCACCCAGTAAGGTGATGAAAGCTTCGCAAACTAACCATACAGCTCAGAGAACAAAACCACATCAAAATCATCCACCTGAGCTACAAATCTTCTCTATCATATCTAAATCACTGCTTTGTGTGCAAAAGAAGCAAGTACAGCAAGTACTACTGTCCTGACTGGCCATCAGTAGAGACTAGAAATTCATGAATTTGTGATATTATCTTTCCCAATTATTCTAACATTCAGCTTATTTTATTTTGATACTATTGAACTGTAACCTATTGATATCATTATTGATTCGATATTATTTACATAACATCAATTTTGTTCACAACACTAATCTATTCATCACTATGTATGTATGTATGGCTGTAGAGCCTGATAAAGAAGAGGTTATCGAAAAGAGTATTCTTTGTTCAGTATCCATTCTTTTGAAAAAAATATTTTAAAGAGGTTACATCCTTCACTTATCTAGCGAGCATCGCTTCAGTCACAGGGAACGTTAAGGATGACAGTGTCACCAGTAATGTTAGGTCAGTTCTTCTATATATATGCGTCAGAAACAGTACCAGCGTCAAGGAAGTCATTTCCAGCAAGTTACGGAGTTTTATCAACAGCGGGCCTCTTTCCATGTTGAAAATGAGATGGCCACCCATAAAAAAATAATAAGTGAGGAGAAACTCCGGGAATGAATTAACCAAGAGCCTTTTGTTCAACAAACAATGCGAAGACAAGGGAGATAGATCAGGCCCATACTGAGGAGACGGCTGGGTGACATGTGACACTAGGCCCTTGAAAGGAGGTTGACGTGAAGGAAATCCTGTGAGGCGGAGACGAGTGACTATGGAGACCCTGGCTCAGGGTAAAATACATACTAAGAAATAGAAAGTAACAGCTTTTGTAAGAATTACTTAAATCTGGTTTACACTAGTCATCCCATTATGTTTCGTTTCTCAACATGTAATATATGACAGAACTGTACTCACATTAAAAATTAAAACTTAGAGTTTTTTAAATTTGTTGCTCATACTGAAATTTACCTGAAACTATAAGACAAGTCATTTTAACCGTTTTCACTTTTGCTCTTGATATAGAACTAGACTGTACATGTTTATGATTGATTTGTCGACGTGTTAACTCAGATGCTAGATGTTTTCTCTGATATTTTTGTCCAGATATATTCATGCCTATACTCTTTCTATCTCGTGATAAATAATTTGCCTTTCCCGTGGATATTGTAATTGTCGCCACAGACGGACGACTGGCAACTTGATTTACTGGTGATGATCTATGACGTACTTCTGGTAGATCATTGATTCTGAATTTTTGAAACTTGGATGCCCGCCATATTGTAATGACAATGATTATATGACAAGTGGCTATAATAAAAGCTGGTATAACAAATACTGATAAAGCAATAGAGGTTAAATATGCCTGAAATGAAAAAAGAAGGGCAATTTCACTACTTTAAAGTTCAAAGGAATTTGGATTCGAGTATAAACTGGTAACGAAATATGTTTATAACTTTTAAAACATAATATAACCTCGCCTAGATTACTAGCTCGCTAGTTTAATAGCCGGTCCCAAGCCAGGATAAAGAGGGAGGGTTGGGGTGTGGTGCTAGCAACTCCACACCCAAAAATTAACCAAATTTCTTCAGAAACTTCAACGCATAAATATATTAAAAATACTAAAAATATAAACAATAACCTTATTTTTCGCTGAGATCGGGGAAGTGAAATAACGCAGGCTGGTGAAAGCCTTCGGGAAGCCAGTCAGCCAGTGTCCCTTCTTTCGATGAAAGCAAAAGTGAGGATGGGGACGTGAAATGTACGTACAATGTAAGAAGCTGAAAAGGCTGCCCAGGAAGCCATAGAAATGAAAAGATATGGGAAACATATTATAAAAAAGTGCTGAACTCATGAATCATTATTAACAGTAATTTCCAGACTACCTGCTGTCCATTACTACTAATACTGGTTAAAATACCTCAGGAAACATGTAATAAAAAAGGGCATTCAAAAGACAGACTTTTTTGCCACAATCAGTATGTCCGAGCAACTGAACTTTGCTGAATTCATTTTACATCAGACTTAAACATTATGCATTACAGTTAATAAATATATACTGGATGAAGGGAAGCAGTACAGATTTCCATTAGGAATAAAGTTAACAATATATTTATTATATTTTTCCGGTATCGCATTTCCTCTTTATATAGTAAGGAAATCATATACTTTCTGCATAATATAAAATTGAAAATGAGCCGGTTTCCCTCGGTGTTTAATTCATGTATAAATTTTAAATTTAAATTTTTTTTTAATTTTTGATTTACTGCTTGATTCCACACTGTATTTTTGGTACAAGTATGGAATTTTCAGCATGGATATCGGTAGCCAAAATTTTGCAGGCCGACCATAGATATCAGGTGTGCGTCAGTGCGGGCTCGAACCCCGGACCATGTGCATGGTCGGCGAGAGTCCTAACCACTGTGCCACCGACGCACAAGAATAGAATTTAAACTTAGCTGGCTTAGGCGTCCGGGGACATTTTCACAACATTCTTTATAAGTACTTGCCCTTCAAATAAAATTGGTATGTTTTTCAAAAACAGACCTATAAATCCATTTATTTCATCTCGAGTAAACTGAGAAGTTCAGATAGGAATGTCTAATCTTAAAATTAACAAAACTGTTGTTTTCAATCAGTTTTCTCTTACGCGCAAACTTAGTGATACATTTCACCCAGTTGAATATTTAAAAGTAAAACAAAATTTTCTGGAATGCAGTCTCGACGAATATTAATTTTCAAGTATTGCTTTTGTGGGGATTTTGCTTGATTGAACTGAGAGTTTCATCATGATCTGACATGAGTTACAGAACCGTTGAAAAACCAGTAGGGAGTACTGGACAGCTGTTTCCTCCGCCCTAGCTTGGGACTCTTCATCAGCACGCAGAGCGGGGTTGAAACCCAAGACCATCTGGTTCCAAGGTGGGTTCATAGACTATTGAGCCATTAAGACTAGATCCAAGGGCCTATTTCAATGGCTCTCTAACTGATGTCAGCTTACGATGGAATACTTCATCCAATCAAACAAAATCCTTACAAAACCAAAAATTTAATTAATCTAGTGCTTACTAGCTATTGGTCCTATTCAGGCAGTGACCTGGGGTTCTAGTGAGAAGCCGTGACGAGAAGCGTACTGCAAGTTGGAGGCTGTAACTCACTGAAGAAGAAGACATTGCTAAATTGTCGTGCTATTTCGTGGCTTGGTAGGAGTTAGAATTCATGGGCTGGTCATTGGATCGGTCACAAATGGCTTAATGGTCTACGAGCTAGCTATCTTGGAACCAGAAGGTGCTGGTTTGGGACCCTTGTGGTGGGTGCCTACTGTTGAAGAGCCCTAAACTGGGACGAAACAGCTGTCCAGTAGTCACAAGTCTTCCAGTGGTTCTCTAACTGATGTCAGCTCATGATTAAATCCTCCGTCGACTATTTATTTGTAGGACATACCTCCGATTTTCTTAACATGTACCAAAAAGCTTGTGTCTCAAGAGAATAAATTCTTTCAACAGTGGTGTTGCCAGATATCTCCTTGACACGGTTCATGAGGTGGACGTCACTAGATCGTTCGGAAATATGAACAGGCAGAACAGTTTAATCCTCCTTAAGTTTTCCGAAGCAATACCCATCAAGCGCCTGAAGTCCGATTTTTGCATTCAGAAATAAACAGTTATCAGTCTTCCCTTCCCCTGGTAACTGGGTATTTTCATCCTCTCTTTCATCTGATTACTTAACGCCAAAAGACGGTTTTGTGTATGATTATTGTCTGTGATAAAGTGATTATTACTATTATAAACATCATATACATATATTGAATGAACTCTGTGCAAGTATGTTAAAATTGTTTCTGTAGATATACTTAATACTGTCTTTGTGCTGCGAGGCGAGATATTTGGCCTCTGTTGATATGTCAGCTTCTCGTACGGACTCTTTCACGATATCCAAAGATTAACTTGAAGCAATTTGGTGGATAGGGGTTAACAACAGAAAGGTCAGAGGTAGATGTCGTGGTCCGATTCACCCATCGGTTAACACTTTGGCGTTCAGAAAAGAAACGGGTACTTGGTTCGATTTTCAGGCGAACACCGTCATTCACTAGGTATTGCAGGTACATTGCGGGTGAATCCTAAATGCACAACACAAGGATTTTACTGATGATCATCAAATAGTTTGAGAATCATCGACAGCACTAGGGTGAAACAGCTGTCGAGCACTCCACTGCTGGTTTTCAATGGTTCTCTAACTGATATCAATATGTGATCACCTCTAAAAAATAAATCTAATCCTCACAAATCAACTATAGAAAACTAATCCGATGCTCGCTAATGACTTCCTACAGGACGGAGTTTCCTGCAGAGCTAGTGAGAAGTTTTGACCACTGAGGCCCATCTAGTCAAGTGTGAGAATACAGTTCCCACCGATGACATTGGTGGTGGTTTGGGTGTCCCGCTAAATCACGAATCGGTAGAAGTTAGAATTCATGGGCGGGTCACTGAATCGGGTCCCAGTGGTTGAATGGTATACGAACCAGGTTGCCTTGTTACCCGAGAGATCGTGGGTTTGAACTCTGTTTGTGGGTACATATCATCGATGGTTCTCAAACTAGGATGAAACAGCTGTCCAATAAACTATTTATACTTATTTGAGTGTTTTAACTAACTCTGTATCTATGAAGCGTCTCTCTCTTAGACTGCATGTTGTTTCTCTGATATTTGCACGGTATCTGTTGATTTAATCCTTATTATTTGTCGTTTCCTCTGTTTAATCCCTAATTTCAATGCTTCTCTTTGTGTTTGTGGGACACGTTAATACTGTGTTGTTTCATGACTACAATTAGGTTTGATTAAGTTCAGGTAATTCTAACCTCGGATTGCTTACGAGGACTGTTGTCTGCGATTCTTTTGAAAGGAGTTTTGAACCCAGCTTTTTGAAAATATTCTACTTGAATCTTAGGCACCATTTAGGGTTGACTTTTGAGTAACTAATATTGTTCTACAGTGTCTACAGACCTTTTCCTTATTCCTTTACCTTCCCACTGAAACACAGGGTTTCAATCCAGAAGCAGTGGTTTTGATTTTTTTACGGGATGGGGTTGCAAGCCTCATGTCCAACCTTCCTTCTTTACTAATCTTGTTCCTGGCTGAGTGAGGTAAAGGACTGAGTCAGTGGCTGGGGATCAAACTCTGGACCTTATGTGTGGTTGGCGAGCATTCTAGCGCTGTGCCAAAGACGCACCTAGAGACCTACTTTGTCTATATAGGTGCCTAAAGGAATTGTTGAGGGAATTTTGAGTTTTTGATGGTGTTAACATTTAGTAAAACAACAGATTTGTTGACGAATAATCGTTTTTTGCTGTTTTTGAAGTACTTTGTGACTGTGTGTATGGCTCATGGAAGTCACTTCCTGCCATCAAAATACAATTGTTCGGTTTTGGTTGTAACACACTCACACAAACCTCGTACTCTCAATTATCTCGACAATATTAGTCTTTTGATGTCTGATATCCATGGTTTAAGACATCCCGATTGCACTTCGTAAAATACTATGAAGAGATATTTTTTTTACTTTGCATTCACGCCCTTACAGAAGCTTAAATTATGTACCTCTTTGAAAGATGTTCCTTCATCTCTCAGACTTTTATATGTTTCTGTTGACAGTGATGAATTCTATTTAAAATTATGCAGTATTTGATACCCAAGAATATAAGTAAAGGTAAATTATCATATAATATCTATGAATAAGAGGAATGTCTTACTTGTGGACTAATATTACTGAAATCAAATCTACAATTTTCATATGGTGTACCTTCGTTCACCTTGTGTGCAAGTAGTGCTGCTGGAATACCACAGAGTAAAGCTGCAAACCATGCAGATCCAATTAACGCTAGAGCGTGTTGTTCTGTATAATCAAAATCAAATTTTAAAAAAATAAATCATAGATGAGAGTATGAGTTAGTTCATATTCCTTGTGATGAACTGATAAACAGCACGTATTTGATATTCCTTGTAAAATACACTTTATTACAAACAGAAATCATTTGTATATATGATGAACAGCTTTCATTCAAGAATTAGCAAATGGTCTTCGTGTAACGTTCTTAAAGTAAATCCTTCCAAATGTCAGACTGTTAATTTCAGCTTCCGATGTAAACGAAAGTTAAATGAAGCTGTTGGTTCCTATGACCCTTGCAAAATTGATGACACGGATATAGATATCAAGTTTGAAGTTAAGTATCTTGGATTAATTCTTTCTTCTGACCTATCCTTGTCTTCCCATGTCTTAGCGATTTCTAAAAGAATATTTCATCTGACTTTTTACATTAAGAAGTCAAAGCACTCAGGCATAACCCGACCCCTCCTCTTACAGTTTGTCAACTCGCGTATTTCACTTATTTTTCTTTTGGGTTCACCCTCATTCTTTCCTGGATTGCTTAAAAAAGACTTCGTAGAACTCTGAAGACTGTCAGTCAGTAGGGTGAGTGGTGGTAACCCATTGGGACACATCGTTGACATTGTCACTGATAGGCACTTGATGTCATGCAACAAATTTTCCAAAGCAATTTTGTCAAACTGTGAGCACCCACTCTATTCGCAGCTCCAATCTTGTGTCTCCTCAGGTAAAACAAGAAGTCTTTTCAGAATAATTTATGCAAGTACGTCTAAGTATAAAAATTCCACTATACCATATTTGACTGCACGTACTTTATGTGATGAAAATAGTGTCAGGCATGAACTAACTAACCTTCTTCGCACTACTAAATAAACCATTTATTCCACCCTTACAGTACCAAACTTTATTGTTATTGTATTTCTTATATTTGTAATCCTCTCAATATTTTGTTTTTATTTATTTTTCATAAGTGTGAACATCATTTAAGCTGTCTGAATAACTGTTAATTTTTTATTTCCCCTCACTATACTAAATCAACAGAACATTAGGTTCAATACTGTATAGTAACATGCTAAAATGTTCAAATTGAATCGACAATACTGTTTGAAACAAACTCACTGTTATTATTATTATATTTAGTGATCTCAGTTCGTGCTTTGAATATTTTTGACTTTATATCGTAAATGTGGACAAATTCCTCTGATTACTTTTGTTTTAATTTTAATTTTATTTATATTTTAAGTAAATCAAATGCAATATTGTGACAAATGCTGAGAATTCTATTCTGTATTACAAGTACTGTTTTAGGAATAAAGTAAACTATTATTATTATTATTTTATATTTTGAAACAATTAGTCCCTTTGATAAATTTGAATAAGGCATTAAGAAGACAAATTTCGCGAGATGATATCATTTCGTAGTTTCTTTACAACCGCTTTACAACTAACATGGTTAACAATGATAAAATAAAGTTCATGAAAATTACTCATTTAAATAAAAACAAAAGTACATACTAATGACCAATCATATTAAGATAGGTCATGCAGTCCAGGGTAGGCGAAGATTGAAGTCTATTGATTTTTGTACACACAGTTTAGGCTGTATGTGATTAATCCAAAGTGCTTCCATCACCTTCAATAACCTTGAATTAGAGTTATGTGAAATAATTGTGAAACAGTCATTAATATGAACTGTATCTACATGTTCACCTGCAGCTGCGGTGACACCTATATAGGTAGAACTAACAGAATGTTCCAATGTCGTCGAAAAGAATATATTCCAAAATGGCTGGTAAATCATATCGAAAATCCTAACGCGATTAATCTTAGTAGAAATCCAGCATCATTATCCATTGCAAAACACTTATTAATGTCTGGTCTCAAAATCAATATTAATGACTGTTTCACAATTATTTCACATAACTCTACATAAACTACGAAATGATATCATCTCGCGAAATTTATTTTATATATATCCAAACCAAGTTCCCTTTTAACAATTTGAAAAAATGTGGGCATTGGGTATATGATATTCATTATAATAAAAATTGTTTTTGTATTTCCCGTTGAATAAAAAACAAAACGATACGGTTTTTACTCAGGTTTCACTATCTAATGCTGCTAAGAGCTTTATCAAAGTATTATTAAACCAGAACTTACACAATCTCAGATTTTAACGAGTTGATCACGGATTGACAGCAATTAAAGAACCACTGAACACCAGCAGCACAGTACTGGACAGCAGTTTCATCCTAGTTTGGGAATCATTTGCAGTATGCAACTTGGTTTTCAATGGTTCTCTAACTGATATCAATTGGCGATCAACTCGTAAAAACATAACAAACCCTTACAAACCAAACTATAGAAAAATAATCTCAGATTATATATAACAACTTAATCATCGTTCCTCAGCATCGGGTCTTTTTTGCGTAGTCAAGTTGGCCAATTGGCAAAAATAGCAAAACCAGGTGTGGATTGTTGGATGTGATAAGTGTGTAAAATTATAAAAGCAGCATGTATTCACACAGTGGAGTTGCTTATCACATTTGTGTTAATTTTGTCGCTTCATTGAAGAGGTAGGTATTGTAACCAGGTCAAATTCTGTTTTAGTCCGTCATTCCTATTCAGACAATTTGGATTCCACTTGAAATGATATGAGACGTTCTTTGTGATTTCTGAAATTCTTTTTCTGGGTAATGATTTCAATATTGTCAAAATTAGTTTTGTGGCCTGATTCTATAGCTGATGATTTTTCAAGCCTTTCTAGTTTGATTGGATTTACTTCTCGGTGGTTGAACAGATGTGACTCTACGGTGTTCATTTCTTCTAATTTTGATTTCACTCTGGTGATGTTTGTCCGATGTATATCGCATCACATTCCAATCATTTTATTTTATAAACACAATTAGATAGAGAATCTTTAGGGATACGGTCTTTTATATGCACAAGTTTGTTTCTCAGTGTGCCTAATGTTTTGAAGAAAACTCTGATGTCGAACTTACTGAGAATTCTTCTGATATCATCTGACGTCTCCGCTCTATATATGGAATGACAACTGCTGAGATCATTTTTAAAGAATATATGAGACTTAATGTGCATTTATAATTTTTGTCAGGTCACAGTGGATTCTATGCTGAATTTACGCGAATCCGTACACGGTAAACATCCAAGTACCAATCTCTTGCTGCTCAATGTATATGTCTTCGAAGTCCTAAGATCAACTACCCTCTTGATAAGTATCAGGCCAAAATAAAAATATTTTGATTACCCCACCCCCCAAAATGTTTTAGTGATGTGGTTCCAGTTCATGATGAATGTGCAATGATATCATCTGGTGCCACATGTACAAAGCGTCCAGAAAACCTGCTTTAATTGTTTAGCGTCTATTGCTTACAAAAACCTTACCTAGTATACATATATGTATATATACTAGGTCGCATGATTGCCCGTAGTGTCCAATTTCCCCCCTCTCAAGATCTCCTCCATGTCATCCTCGGAAACCCAAATCATCGTCTCTCATTTGGATTCCAATCGAACAGTTGCTTGGCACTTCCTTGGCGCACACCCGATTCATCTCCATTCTCTTCCGCGTATTTCATAAACACTGGGTTCGTGGATGCTAAGTTCCCAGAATTTCCTGGTACCAATACTTCCTGAAATTCATTCCATAGATAATAGTTACTTCGACATGGCGCAATATGCGTGTAGACACTGTTTTTCTATTTACCGACTGCTTGATCCAAATAGACAAAGCTTATGTGTTGTATTACAATAATTTATTGGTATTGTAAACCTTTCGTGCCTCCTTGAAAAATGTTTTCAACACATATTTATCACTGAATGTCTTTGAACTAGTTCAAATACTGATGTCATGCCAAGAAGTGAAGGCGTTATACCGATTCTCAGTAGAAATTTGTCTTTAGTTTGCCATCAAACACTTATTCGAATAATCGATTACTACCTGGCAACATGTCCGCTTCCACTTTTTTTTTAAATGCTTAGCTGATGTAACAGATATGAAGGACATTTGTTGTTCTTCAGGCTCATCGGTTACGTAGGACAATTTTAGTGTCACTTGGTTTTATACAAGTAAAAGCCAGAAGTAGTTGTTAGCATACACACGCATGAAAAAAGCTTATAGCACGTGAAAGCAGCGCTTAAAATGTCATTTTCGTGGTACAAATTAATAAAACAGGACTTTCCTTATTGTCTAGACAATATAAATTACCTGCCTATTTAACTTTCGATCTAAATAACTTTATGATCAATCGGTGTGGATTTATCAGCTTTTATTTTGCATTTCCAACGCCGTAAAGTTCATCTCCAAACTATTTATCCGTATGATGGATATGATTATAGTATACAATCAAGAGATAATGGAGAAGAATTGTAACTCAGTTGGACGAATTTTATGTGACTGTATTCTCTGAGCTGGATAGGGGTTTATTTACGAAGCTTTCATCGCCCTACTAGACAACATCTTCAGCGCATACTTCAATTTATTGAAGTGAGCTTTAAGATTTCTACACCAGTTTATACGGTCATCTCTCCTGGTCGCCTGACCTAGAACGTGATTGGTAGTTTTCGTGTGTTTTCACATCCTCTTGGCAGCTACTTATATTGGAACTGATTGTCTTCTTGACTTGAACTTTGACACTTTGTGCATGTGATTTCTTTCTTATCGGTTGGTGGATTTTGTCTATGTCGATATGTCTACTGATCGATGATTCACTGGAAAACCAGGCTTCTAAAAAATCTCTATCATTCTTGATGTTTCCTCTGTCTAATATTTGTACTTTGTCCCAGTGGAATTGATGTCAGTGGTTATTGAATTATTTTTGGTTTTTTATTTTTTTTGATTACAGCTTGATTCCACACTGTATTTTTGGTACTAGTAGGAAATTTTCAGCATGGATATCGGTAGCCTAAATTTTGCAGGTCGACCATAGATATCAGGTGTGCGTCGGCATGGGATCGAACCTAGGACCATGTACATGGTCGGCGAGAGTCCTAACCAATGTGCCACCGACGCACTGTCTGTTTGTAGTGATATTAGGGAGTGGATGTCATGTCTTCTGATGGCTGGCTTATGTTTGTGGATACGAAGACGAAGGGGACGGCGCAAACCAACCAAATCCCCTCATTCACTTCTATGTCAACCAAAAGACTCAAGAGCGAAAAAAAATAAAACCAACATCATCTACAAAATAAATGGTAACAATTGCGAAAAGCACTACATTGGCCAAAGTAGATGTCCTCTTCGTCTTCGTATCGACGAACATAAGCTAGCCGTCAAAAGATATGATATCCACTCCATCACTCGTATCATTACATAAAAACAACCACGGAGATCTATTCGACTGAGACAACGTTCAAATATTAGACAGATGAAGCAATTTTTAAAAGCCTGTCTGGTATTCCAGTGAATCATCGATCAATAGACATATCGACATAGACAAAATCCACCAACCGATAAGAAAGAAATCACATGCACAAAGTGTCAAAGTTCAAGTCAAGGAGACAATCAATTCCAATATAAGTATCTGCCAAGAGGATGTGAAAACACACGGAAACAACCAATCACGTTCAAGGTCAGGCGACCAGGAGAGATGACCGTATAAACTGGTGTAGAAATCTTAAAGCTCACTTCAATAAATTGAAGTATGCGCTGAAGATGTTGTCTAGTAGGGCGATGAAAGCTTCGTAAATAAACCCCTATCCAGCTCAGAGAACACGATCACGTCAAAAAAGTATACAATCTTCCCAAAATTAGTGTGAATAAACGTTTTGGTAAACTCGAAAGCTAATAATGTCTTTTGAGTGATATTTAGCCTAAATAAAACTTGTGATTTCACAATTAAAATTGTTATATTTGCTTCGTTGAAGTAAAGGAGACACGACTTCTGATAAATGACAATATTATAGACTAGGAAGCAGATCCAGATCCATACAGCCATGTGCCCAGTGTAAAACACCTCACATGCATCATCGGAACAGCTGCCTTTTCCTTAGGTAGTGGCTCTTCAGAAAGGATGTCAGTTCAATTACCTCTTCTGCATCAAGGATGAAATCTATGACATAGGCGTCTTGGTTGATAGATGAGCTACACTTGGTATCATACAGAACAGAAATCCAATCGGGAAGTTAAAAGTCTGCTACACACTGCATGCCTCTAGTAAAGGCCTGACTGACTGAAGAGGTTGTGAGGTGTTGGATTCTGCATTTGTTTTTTTTTATTCCTTTACGTTCGCAGTGTAACATAGGGCTTCAAGCTAGAGACGTGAAGTTTCAGTAGCAACGGTGTGGTACGGGGTTAGATCTCCACCCAAGGCACTCTTTTATGTCCCAGTGGCTGAATGCTATACAAGGTTGCTGACTCCTTCTTAAATTCCTTTAAGCCTGTATTAAGACCGGTAATGAGGGAGGGTTGAGCATGAGGCTTACAGCCTTACCCCGTAAAAATAATACAACTGCTGTTGATCAAACCCTGATGTTCCACTGAGAACGTAAAGGGATGAAATAATAATAATGAAATCTTTAATAATGACAAGTTGTGGCTGACAGTAACCAAGACTAACACAAGTCGGAAATGATTTAAGTTGTTAAATAATTAGAAGTTAAAAATGATTCACCATTTATAGGAAAATCAGACGAATATGTTTGGAAGCAAAAAGCTAGATGTTCAACAGATTTTTGTGTGTAGAAACGAAGTTTAACTAGAAAGAGTCTAACAAAACAGCAGGTTATGTAACCACGGAAAATATGTTTTTATAAAATAGCCAAAAAAGGGACGGGCTAGGGTGAGGCATTTTTAGACGTAACGATAAAGTTTTCTAAACAGGACAGAGGATGACGTAATAAAGTTTGCATACAATTTGTCACCAAAGTAGTACAAGATTCTCTTCTGCCTACAAAGATATGGTTTTAATCGTTTGATGGCAATTGTTTCAGCAAAATGTCGCAAGTCAGATTTCTTTCGCATGTTAACTATTCTGAACGCCTTCAGATTGCCCAGAATATGTCCACTGTCCAACTGATGGCACGCATTTACACTATTTAGTGACTAGCAATGAACGAACCAACCCACCAGGAATCAATTATGCAAGAAATATGCAGGAGTGACTGCAGAGTTCTCTTCCGGTTGCTGACCTTTTCTGGCCGGCCATCTGATCTTGAGTTGTATTAAGCGAAGACAGCTGTTGAGGAAGGTGTGTAATTTGTTTGAGGTAGTCTTCATGACGCTCCAAGTCTCTGATCCATCAGCATAGTAGTGCCAACTTCATATTGGAATTGTTTTCTTGATCTTCGCTTTGATACCTTCCATCAGATCCAGCCGCCTGTAGTTGAAACGATGCTTCCCAGGTAGTCTAAGGAGGTTGTTTCTTTCAGGTTCCTCCCATTTATGCTGAATGTTGTATGATGCTGTTTCTGTTGGCCAGGAATCTTCATCATCTCTGTTTTCGACGCCACGTTTCCTATATTTGTCGATGAACTTCTATAGGCGACTTTTATCACGCAGGTATCTGTCCACAAAGGATAGCTCTATTTTTCATTTTTTTTTCTTCTGAATAAAGTATCCTTACACAATGAAACAGGATTCCTTTTTTATTAACTTATAGGACTAAAGCTTTTGAGGTTCAAATGAATCGCACTCGAGGAATGTCTCTGAATAAATTTATCATATCTAAAAGGGCTTATTACGTTTTAATGTTAGGTTCAATTAACATTTTATTCAATGGGCACGCGAGACGTTAGCTCAAACGTTGTAATAATTTCCACTTCCGTGACTTTAATTTTAATTGTAAATAGAAATTTGGTTTAGTAACAAGATTTTGTCATGAGCTGACATCGGTTAGAGAACCATTGGAAAACCACTGGGGGATACTGGACAGCCATTTTGTAGGCCTAGTTTTGGACTCTTCAGCAGTACGCACCCACTACCAGGCTTCGAACCCAGTAACTTCTGACTACAAGGTGAGTTAGCTCGTAGACCATTAAGCCGCTGGGAACTGATCCAATGCCCAGCCCATGGATTCTAACTTCCGCCAATTCACGACATAGCGTAAACGCTGGCCAATGTCATCGGTGGCGAGTATTTGTCCTCACACCCAACCTGCTGTTCCTCTAATCAAGGTCAGCTCATGATGATATCCTGTAATCAATCAATCAAATCCCTGCAAACCATTACTAGAAATTCTGTTGTTAGTATCTTAACTTAGTTTTCTTTAAATTATAAAACTGTTTACATATATATATATATATATATATACGTATATATTATGTAACCTAAGCAACATCACTTTATTTCATTACTTAGACGCTTAAATCACATTCGATTCGGATCACCAACGCTCGAAAACACGTGTCTGCATAATTAGCTATGTTACAGTTATCTCAAGTTTAAATTGCAGTTGTGCTATTTAGTGACCAAAATCAGAACTTAACACGGAGATACATGATCTTCGGGACTATATGAATCATGTGAACAAAAGTATGAGACATGTTTGCATATTACATAACAGCATTAGCATATATATATATATACATATCCCAATTCTATTTAACTAATACTCCTCTTGTGCTTAAGTGGCTTAGCAATACACATTATAGAATCAATCATTTATGCAAACTAAAACACCAAATTTACTGATTGTAGCACATGAAGATACATAGGCAAATAAGTACACATTTCGTCCTATTTGGGACTTGTCATCTGGATGTACCTGCATTTGCCAGTGAGCGATGATGTTCCTATCAAGGCTAGAAGCCGACATGTCAACCTGAGACCGGGAACTTCGGTCCAATCAATCGACAGGAAAATGTAAATTTCAATTAAATAATAAATGTGACCCGTTGCACAAGGGGTGGCTGTGGTGGCCCAAGTGGTCAAGTGGATAACGCTTTGGCGTTTGAAACTATGGGCATTGGGTTCGAGCTTCGGTGAGAACACCATCACTACCTGGGGAATGCGAAGACACCCAGATGGCGAGTCTCAAAATGGACAGTCAAAATGCGCATCCTGGATTCCATGGCTAGTCACCATCCGCCAATTAAATACTAATTAAATGCCTATACATCGTCAAAGCATCCGCACAAGAAGCCAACATGTCAACCTGAGACTGAGCAATTCTGTGCAATCAGTAGACGTGAAAATCTAAAACTCAATTTAAATAAGTACACCTTTTATAACCAAAATGAAATCGTTAGTCAGTCAACGCTTACTTTTACTGAATTTTGAGGAAGTTGCTCGTAGTGGTCGACAGACCGCTTCTGCACGATCAATACTTAATGCTATCAGTGCGAATGAACTTCCATATGTTATAGTGGTCTGAAATGATACAAAAAAAGAATTTAAAACAATTAGTTTCCTTTATGAATTCAGAAGATGTGATTTGTCTGAATCGTGTAATGTTGTATTTGCGCAACACATTTCGAACAATCTGATCCAGCACACAAGGACTTGTCATAAGAATATATATGATTTTAATAAAGGGTTAAGAGGTGGGTGAGAAAATAGACTTAGGTCAAGTTAAAAAGACATGTTCAAGATCAAAATAACAAGGAAGACCATTAAACCAAATAACAGAGGTAATAGCACATCTGCCATGGCTGGTGTCGAAACAAAGTTTACCAATGAAAGGAGGTTTAGTGTGATGACGAATTGTTTGTGATGAACGCATAAAGATGGTTTAAACTTTCGAATTGCCAGCTAGAGCTTCCAAAAACTTTAGGATGCGCCCCAAACACGTTTTATAGATAGGTTTAAAAGATCTGTTAACATCAATTTTATGTTCTGTCTCTATAATATGTTTCGCAATAGAGGAGCAAGGTCCCCTGTTCTCACTGTTAGTAGGTTCTGCAGATTCCACTTGTTTCTGGAGCCATTTAGGAATATGCTTTGAATCCAGCCCTTACTTGCAGAGATTGATGAGTCCTCCCTATGTATGCGTGTCCACATATACATTCAAACTGGTAATCAAGGGGGGATATGACATCATTTTTTGCATGTTTAAAGGGCTTAGATGGATATACTGACTTCCCATTCTCAATTAAAATTATATTAGCTGCATAAAAAGTCTTTTTAACAACAGCGTTCAGTCTTTGTCTGGTCATCCAGCTGCTATGATGCCCCATATAAAGTAGCCTGATGTCACATCCCCATTTGATTACCAGTTTGAATGTATATGTGGACACGCATACATAGGGAGGACTCATCAATCTCTGCAAGTAAGGGCTGGATTCAAAGCATATTCCTAAATGGCTCCAGAAACAAGTGGAATCTGCAGAACCTACTAACAGTGAGAACAGGGGACCTTGCTCCTCTATTGCGAAACATATTATAGAGACAGAACATAAAATTGACGTTAACAGATCTTTTAAACCTATCTATAAAACGTGTTTGGGGCGCATCCTAAAGTTTTTGGAAGCTCTAGCTGGCAATTCGAAAGTTTAAACCATCTTTATGCGTTCATCACAAACAATTCGTCATCACACTAAACCTCCTTTCATTGGTAAACTTTGTTTCGATACCAGCCATGGCAGATGTGCTATTACCTCTGTTATTTGGTTTAATGGTCTTCCTTGTTATTTTGATCTTGAACATGTCTTTTTAACTTGACCTAAGTCTATTTTCTCACCCACCTCTTAACCCTTTATTAAAATCATATATATTCTTATGACAAGTCCTTGTGTGCTGGATCAGATTGTTCGAAATGTGTTGCGCAAATACAACATTACACGATTCAAACAAATTACGTCTTCTCATTGCTTTATCTAGAAACAGATAAAGTTTCGTAAAATCCTAAATTAAAAGCAGTTAAAGTGTGAATTACTTGCAAACGTTCTTTACAACATCAAATGTGTTGAGTCTACAAGACTACATTTTGTTTTCAAAGTTTATTCTGGAAGTACTTAAGGTTATTAAAGCTATAATATGATTGGATGAGCACTATTTGTAAATCAAAATGGCTTTTAGCAGAGAGAATTTTAGAAAAGAGAATATATGTTTGAAATGAATGCTTACCAAGAAAAGTAGGCATATAATGGATTTATTATGAAGAAATACTATGGAAACGGTACCACAAAACCATTCTTCAGATGTTTACGTAATATTTAGGCAGTATATCTCTATTTAATGCTCATTTTTACAATCTCGCTGTCAAATAATGAATATATTTCTGAACTTGACTGATGGAAAAATGGTAAGTGCATTGGCAGAAATCCTAATTGAATTACAGCTATTGTTATTTGCATGTAATCTTCACAGTTAATTTTCACTACCCATCTCCTTTTTTAACGTTCAGCTGTTCTTTAATTACACCTGTGAAACTCATCGTCAGATGTTGTGTTATAGGTCAAGGGTAATCGATTTTTTCCGATTACGTAGACTTCTTAAAGGATGTACTTTCATACTGAGAACAGAACTTAGACGAATTATGACACAAGCAGTCAACCTTTCTATATAAATTAAAATCCACTAGTGTAATTTATTGTATTCAAATACCACAGTTTGTTTAATAACTTCATTTTTACAGTAATACATGAATGAAATATTGTGATGACTGACTTCCATAAATTGATAAATATATTCTGATGAATGAAGAGAATGGTACTCAGGTAGCAAGTGTGATGGAAACACATACCGAAAAATTGTTTCTGACGAACAGCCATGGGCCTCCGGATTTAAAGCCTGAGTATGAAAAGCAGGAATTCCAGACATATCTCTGGCCATTATCCTCCGTCGTTAACAAGAGGATAACACAAGACTATTACTAGCTTAACCCCCTTCGCGATTTCCCCCAAACGTTATCTACGATTTAAGATTGAGTGTTTAGAGCGATTTTATGTTACAGCATTTTTGTATATGGAGGGGAGACGGTTGCGATTGATCCTTTCGACTGTGAACATTTCATACGCAATGGTTTTGTTCAGCCGCTTATCTTTTCATGGTCTTAGGCTCTTTCCGACTTCTTTGTTTCTATTTTTAATAAGTAATTCATTAGTAGCACTTTGACACATTCCTTTTGTGTATTTTACTGTTCTCTCCCCAATTCGGCATTTTCCAAGTAAACGCTCATCATTGCACTTCTTGCTTAATCTCAAAATCTTAATCCCATCGTGGTTCTGACCAATAATCAACTCTTCTTTCTTGGAAACTGCTTCCCAATAATTGTGTCAGTGATGTCATAGATTCCTTTTACTCGGTAATATTCAGTTGTAGTCTTCAGTAGACATAATCAGGATTAAACAGCCTTTGGTGGTGGCCCTCTTTGAATCGTCTTTAACTCCTTTTATCAGTGAGTGGATATTTTCAGTTTTCAGCCCTAAATACTTCAGAAATTTCGACTGATAAATTCATGTGTGACTCTTAAAATATGAAAGCTTATGAGAAATTGTGAACGGAACAAAGTAGAAATGGGACGTTGGAGACCCATGTTCCCCTTCAGGACCTAAGGGAACAATAAAGTAAATAGAATATCTTGGAACAATTAGTTGGATAAATCTTCTTCTTTAGTACTTTTCGATGTATGACATTTTGACATTTACCATGATGGAGTTTTTCAAAACTAAGAATCTCACTTTCATCTTCATAAATCAGTGTTTGGATTTCTCTGTACTTATGCTTGTTACACTAACTAATAGCTAAACTTTCTACAAATTTTTCGCCAAATTATAGTCTACATAACTTCCATACATTGAAATGTCTTCATTTTTTTCAAAAATATTTATTCTCTGTCATGACTGGAATTACACATGGAACTAGTCTTATGTAAAATTACTGAACTTAAAAGTAAGCACGTAGCTGCTTTACGTTTAATTTATCTACAATAATAATAATAATAATTTGCTTTATTCCAAAACAGTACTTTCGATACAGAATGGAATTCTCAGTATTTTACTACAGTATTGCATCCAGTTATTACATTAACAATAAATAAAATTCTACAGAGATTAAGGGTAATCTCGGTTAGTTTTGACAACAACAGATTGGCATGTCGGTAGCAAAGCCAAAAATGAACAGAATGTTTGAAGGTGTTAGAAAAGTAGATACTACTAGCATATTTACTGGCGTAAGCGGTAATAATAAGGTCGACATATACAGAGTGTGAAAGAACGAAGAAGAATGTTTTAAATAGAGTTTGTAAGTAAGAAAGAAACAAAGCAGCACATAGCAGAAAAAGAGAGAGAAAAGGAAAAGAAAAAAAAGAAAAAGTTGTACTTATAAATGATATGATTTGGAAAGATAAGATCAAATTGTTCTACAGACTGTTTAAAAAGTCATAGGTTTTACGCCTAATGCTTTCATTATCGCACAGAACACGAACGAAGTAGGGCATGGTTGAATTTTTGTACTTGCTGATGCGAGCATATAGTTTTCTATATAGGCTTCTGGTTTTGCCTGATGAGATAAAAGGGGAGAGTTGTGAATGAAGAGGATGGTGTGAGTTAGATCAAATGGATTTAGCCCATTTTTCACGTGAGTCCAAGTGCCTGTTAACCAAAATATTAACAATCTGGTTAAGTGGCACGTTAGTTCACCTTGACCTTGGCGACCTGTTCGAATTTTTGGGCTTTTATAATATCTACATATTGCATCCAATCTACCGTTTACTCACACTTATTTATCACCCAAATTTGAATTTTAACTAGATCATTTCCTCGCTTAACTTTATTATTCATGTACGACCAAATGACCTTTATATACCCAAGAAATCAAGGAGGAAGCATCGTAGTGGTTGACAGAGAGCTCTCAAACGTACATCGATACATTTAACTACGGTCCTTGCCATAATGAACACAAACTGCCGCTCTCTGCCTAACAAGATAATGTACCAGTATATGTGTATGTACCTACAATCTGTGATGTGCACTGACACTTATCATAATACTGCCATAATCAAATTACAAGAAACGTGGTTACATGAACTGTATGATGGCAACCTTATCTCACTAAAGGACTTCATTTTATTTAGACAAGACTGTCATTGTTGTATTAGGAAAAATGATGGTGGCGTTGCAACTTTCATTTACTCCAAATGGTCTATTTCAAATAATGTTTGCTTCTCATTCTTAAATGACTTCATAGACTGTATTACTGTCAAATGTCGTCCCAAACGTCTCCCCAAATATAAACAAATCTTTTACAAACGTGTACATCTCTCTCAGTCGCTCACTATCCGATCTTTCCAATTTTGCTGACGAATTCACTATGTTTGCCGCTGCCAACTTTGACAACTCTCTATCTGTTATTACTGGGGATTTCAACTCCTCAGATTGCTCCTTCCTTGAAGCACTTGGTCATACAAACATAGTCAAATTTCCCACTCGACTTGACAAAACACTCGATTTGGTTTTTTACAAATGACTAAGGAGTATATGAAACACGTAAACGTGCACCGATACTTAACTCTGATCACTGTATTGTTTGTGTTTTACCAAAAATATACGACAAAACATTTATATATACTTATACATAGTATTCCTGTATTTCGGTTTGCTAGCCATTCTGATAAAAGAATAGAACTTGAGCACTGTAGTACAGTGCGCCAGTGGTTTGGTGGTAAGACGCTCGCCCACTGCTAACATGGTCTGGGTTTTGATCCCCGAGCGACGTACTCCTAAATCTCACTAATGCATGAAATAATGCTATTAAAGAGAGAAGCCTGTATGTGAAGCTGGAATTCCCATCCCCGTGAAAATAAAACCACTGCTACGGGAACTTCAGAGCTGGAGCTGGAAGCTCTATGTTACATCTGGAATGTGAAAGAATGAAATAAGTGAAAAATAAATGAGGTAGAGCATAACTGCTGAGTAATTGAAAAGAAAAACTCAGCAGTTCCAGTGTATGCGTTAACACAGCCACACAGTATGTTTGGAAAAGATTACGATCCTAAAAGGAAATATAGATAGATGAAGAAAAAGGTTGATTACGCAGTCTTTTTTCATGGAATCTACACTAAAGTGGTCTTGTGGATAACGATTTGTGCGTTGGTGGCACAGCGGTTCGGGCGCTTGCCGACCATGCAGATGGTGCGGGGTTCGATCCCCGACTGACGCACTGCTTTGCCTCACTGAGCCAGAAATAAAACTGGTGCAGAGGAAGGGATTGGAATGAGGCTAGCAACCCCATCCAGTCAAAATAAACACTGCTACAGAAATTTCAAGCCTTTAGCTTGAATCAGTATGGGAATGTGAAGAAATAAAAAGACAACATCCAAGATATACCATGGGAATCACAAAGACATGAATAATATTACTCCCGATCCCATTAGGTGATGAAGAATAATGCAACTATATCAACGAAGTTAGAAAGTTGTGTATGCACCTTAATATGATTATGCGTGTTAATAAATTGTGCTCGAAACGTGATCATCAGTAAATATTACTGTGTAACAATCGGAAACTTTATCAAATAAATTTACTCTGTGACGCAAATCGATTTTATTCTTTACAGTGAGTATTTATTTGAGAAACATGGTTGATATTTCTCAGGCTTATATGGTTGCTTATTGATGACAGTGATCTTCTTCCAAATTTTTTATTTTAATGTCCCATTTATTATTATTGCTTCATTTGGTTCCTAGAGGAACATAGGGCTTCAGATGCACGTCTCCACTGCATTCGGCTCTCTGACAACCTTTTCACATGGCTCCACATCTATCCATATGCTTTCATCTTCTCTTCTCATCACCTCCTCCATGTCACCTCACCTTCGCACTGACGACCAACTCGCCGCTTCCCACTCGGTTTCCACTCGAGTGCTGGCTTGGCGTGTAATGTCACCTGATGGTTTTCTCAGAGTATGGCCAGTCCACCTTCATTTCTTCCTGCATATTTGTTACAAAATTGGTTCCTGCTGTGCTGGTTCGTTCATTGCCAGAGATCCCTTCCTGTTACTTTTCTTTTCTGGACAGCCATCTGATCTTGAGTAATATTTAGCGAAGACAGCTGTTGATGAAGATGTTCAGTTTGTTTCAGGTGCTCTCCATGACGCGCCAAGTCGCTGATCCATAAAGTAGTACTGAATTAAGGACCGTTTTACTAAAGGAGATTAACGGAGAACAAACTGTCTTTTGGTTTACATTTCTTCATGCCTGTACAGAAAACTTTCATTGTTTTGAAAAATAAATATTATATGAAATCAAGTTGCATGATGTCAAAACACAGAATCGGCAGCTATACTGCAGTTCACAGAAAGTGGCTAAAAGCAATTAATATAACCTTATGCTTAATTAGACTAGAAGGGAAAAATGGAACTACTGAGGTGAAAGAGAATTTTCATTATAACGCAAGTGGACAACCTTATTGCCCAATTTTATTTTTACTTTTATATGGTGTGTAAAATTGCATTATTCCCACCGATAGGGGCTAGTAATAATTCTGTCTTAATTCTCCTAGGCTCTGGAGGTCAGAAGTAATCGGTCATCATCTAACTCCAATATATAGATCTTCGCATTTTCAACACCATTGTGAAGTCGGTCATTCCTTCTATACGAGTCAGAAACTTGGCCAGCGTGTCATAAAAAGGATTCCGAGCAGTTCCACACTAAAGATCCAATGGCCACAAAGCATAAACTACAGAAAACTATGAGAAAAAACCAACCAAAAGCTCAACAAATATGTAGGAAAAAGTGGAGGTGGAATGGACATATACCGAGGAGGACACCGAACGACATCGCACGTCAGGCAACACCTCGAGTAGAATCCGGATGGGAAGTGACGAGTAGGTCATCAGTGTGATGGTGACATGAACGATATTGTGTGAGGAAGAGATCAGATAGTTTGGTCAATCGTTGACTCAGTTGAACAGGAAGGCAGGAAACAGAAAAAAAGTGGGTATGTTTTGCTGTAGCCGTATGTTCCACTAGGACAAGAAAAGAATAACAATACAATGATATGTTATACTTAGATTTCCACCGCAGTTTTCCTAGAAGCAGCTGTGAAATGGTTTATGCTCGGATAATTATGTGTAAGAACTCTACAATACCTCATTCGACATACATCTAGTGTTACGAGAAAAGTGTATGGAGTAAAACCAAGCAGTAACTTACTGAGTAAAATCGAGTAAACGGTCCTTTTTATTCGTTATTTCATTAATAGATACATATATTGTTTTCACCAGTTTATCAACGGATTTATTCAGTATATATACGAGCTTGCCTTGTAACGGGAAATGCCTGGGTTCAAACTCCAGTGATGCGTCCTGTGAAGAGTGCCAAACTAGGGTGAAACAGATGTCCTGTACTCCAGTGCTGGTTTTCAATCGTTCTCTAACTGATATCAATCCGTGATCAAACTCGGAAGAACTAAACTAACCCTGACAAACCAAACTATAGAAAATTATTCTGATGCTCGCTAATGACTTGCTACAGGACGGAGTTTTCTTAGAGTTCTAGTGAGAAGTCGTGACCAGTGAGGTGAATCCAGTCAAGTTGGTTTTTTGGTCGGGCTAAATCTCGAATTGGAAGAAGAAGAAGTTAGAATTCATGGGCTGGTCATTGAATTAGGTCCCAGTGAGTGGCTGTATGGTAACCGGAAGGTCGTGGGTTCTAATCTTGTTGGTGGGTGAGTACTGCCGATGATTTCTAAACTAGACGGATGAAACCGCTGTCCAGTACTCTGGTGTTGGTTTTCAATGCTTCTCTAACTGATATCATCACTCCATGGTCAAACTCGTAAAAACAATTTTAATCCTTACAAATCATCTCTTGAATATATTTTGTTGTTAATATTCCCACTTAATTTTTAACTTTATATTCACATATTCTTAGTGAACAATAATATTACCAATGTGAATACCCTATTAATTATTTCTCTCCATGATTAAAAGAAGAAATCACAAGCTGAAAATTTCGCACTATCAAAAGTATTCTTTTAGGATAAATCCATTTTTCTTACCTTGAATGCTAACAGTCAATATGGCGGATGATAACAAAAAAAAACTGAAGATTAGAGACAAAGTCTACATCGTTTAATACTGATAAATAATTCTCGCAAATACATACACGGACACAATTTAATGTGTGCAATAATACCAGTAATTTTACTTTCCATGATTAAGACTTGTAGTTTACCTGTCTATTAGTCTAGTGTTAAATAGAAAGGTTATTTTCAAGATAAACATGCATTGAACATGCATTGAACATGCATTGAACATGCATTAAACATTGCTGTATTGAAATATGGTTTACACTAAGTAGATTATAGTTATATATATATGTACGTATATCATAAGACTTACAGACACGTACTTCACCAATTTGCACACAAAATTAGGTGCATAGAAAATAATTGTAACATTCCAAATAATCTCCGGTAAAATTCCACCGATGGCAACAAATAAATCTGTGCGGAGAAAAAAGAAATTTGTGTTAAGCATCTGTGATATAAGTAATAACAACTGTCTATTATCTACACCATATTATACAACAAACTAAAAGTAATTTGATACTATATATAAAATAACTTACAAAATACACGATGTATTAAAAGTCGGTTTATATATATATATATATAAAACACACTGCTTTGCTTGATGTACTTGCATTCATGATAAATTAACTTATTGACGTCGTTGGTCGACTTAACAAAAGCATTGGTGTTTTGGGGATTTTGTTTGATTGGATGGAGGATTTCATCACGAGATGACATAAATTAAAGAACCATTGGAAAACCTGAGAGTACTAGACAGATGTTTCATCAGCCTCGTTCAGGAATCTTCGCAGAACTCAGCCACCGGGGATCGAAGCCAGAACCTTCTGGTTACAAGACTAGAGAATTCGTTGACAGTTGAGCCACTGGGACCCGATCCAATGGCCAGCCCATAAATTCTAACTTCTACCAATTCACAACATAGCGCGACCACTTCGCAATGTCCTTTTCTTCGATGAGTTACTGCCTCATTTCCATCCAGCTGTACCCTAGTGGTCATGGCTTTCCAATCGAACAAAATCCCTACGAAACCAATACTTGAAAATTAATATATTGCTCACTAGCGACTAGTCCAATTCAGGCAGTTACCTGGGGTTCTAGTGGAAAGCTGTGACCAGTAGGTTACAGAGGGTTGAAGATGAGGCAGTAACCTATCGAAGAAGAGGACATTGCGAAATGGTCGTGAATTGTTAGAAGTTAGAATTCATGGGCTGGCCATTGGATCGGGTCCCAGTGGCTCAATGGTCTACGAGTTCTCTAGCCTTATGAATGGAAGGTTCTGGGTCCGAGGTCTGGGGGGTGAGTGCCTTGAAGAGTCCCAAACTAGGCTGATGAAACATCTGTCCAGTACTCCCAGGTGGTGGTTTTCCATTGGTTTTCTAACCAGTATCAGTTCATGATGAAATCCCCCATCCAATTAGGGAGAGCAGTTTAGTGACACAGAGAACACACAGTTTGCATATGAACAACTAATGTTGAAAAGTGAGTAAAAATATCTCTAAGGATGCCATGTACATTAAGCTTATTATTGAAATTTTCCTTATTTTTCATCTTTCTTCACAAAAAGTATACATCTGATTGGTGTCCAGTTTGAAAATTTATCAGTTAACTTTATTTGCGTACGGGTAGGCTATTTAATTGTTAAACAGAATAAGAATTTGGTAATTTTAAAGTCGGGAAATCCTTTCACTCTACTCTGAGGAATTTAATTGGTGGACGGTGAACTGCAGTGGAATCTACTAGGATGAGCTTTTCGTCCTATTCGGGACTCGTCACCTGAGTGTACCTGGTGCTGGATGCACATCCATATGACGAGTCTCAAGTAGAACGAAAAGCGCATACTGCACTGCATTGCTAGGCACCATCTGCCAGATAACTTCTAATTACATGCCCAGACATCGTCGAAGCATTTACAAAAGAAGCCAACATATCAACCTGAAACCGAGTACTACGGTCCAATTAACTGACGGAAAAATCTAAAATTCAATTAAATACTCTGAGGAATGTTAAAATAAATATAACACGGTATAAAAGGGTGAAATAATTACAAAAAACATCAGTAGTATGCTTGTCTACAAAGAAATATTTCTGAAAAACTAATTTTAAGGATGATGGTGCGGAAAATCAGTTATTCCAACAAGTGAATAACTGCCAAGCATGTTCCACTTATTAATTAAATTTTTAAACAAATATCTTTAGCACTTAGTTTATAGGGATCTGATGAGTTGTCACTATCGTGTCGGTATTGAGCCACACATGTCACTGGCTAATCGTAGCTTTGAAATCATGAATTTGTAGGGACTGGAATTCATTGACCATTGGATTGGTTGGTTCCCATTTGCTGCTAAATTTTTAACCAGCTTGCTCTGTAACTTGAAAGACCTGAGTTCGAGTCTTGGTAGGTGCTCAGTGATGAGGAGTCTTAAACTAGTATTTCCTGGTTTTCAAATGATTGTCTAACTCACATCGTCTTGGGATCAAACTTCAAATAAATATCTCCTTACTGGTCAACAGTGTTTATGTTTGAAGGTAAATACAGCAATCCTTAAAAACCAGCACATTATTATAAAAGGTCTCACTAAATGTAAGAAAAAGGTTTTGATTTATGATCTGTAGCACTGCAAAACAGATTGAAAATGAGAGTCACAGAAATGCATTTGGTTTGAAAGTTTAAGATTATAATGGTTTCTGTTTTCAGATGACAGTGTGAAAAACACGTCGAATTTGAAAAAAAAAACGACAAGGAGATTATTGTTCAAAAATAATTGAGCACATCAGTAACGCTGAGCAAAAGGAACAAATTCTAATGTCAGGTGTTTATGCAAAGACACGGTGTGTACATTAAGAAAAGTTTTTTCTAGCAGACGAATTTAGTCCTGAATCAAAACCTGTCTTCACATAATACTGAGCATTTAATAGCTAGAAAGGATGATCACCAAGTATACAACGTTGTTAGTAGCTCAGAAAAGTACCCATCGTTCAAAAAATTATAGACAGAGTAGACATACTCTGAGATACAGCTGTGTGACGTCATGAACTAGATTAGGACTTGAATGGGAAGAGGAATAATTTTGTACCGGTCCCAGGGTAACGTGGAGGAGACCATTTGAAGAAGTAATGCCAACATATGGGCAATTGTATAGCCAGCTAAAACAGACCACAGAGGACTTATCAAAATGGCAGTGTACTGCTCAGGCCTTGTGTTTTTCACCGGGAACCTATGGGAAGGACCAATAATACGAATTTTTTGGACTGCTCGTCATTAAAGTTACCTGAAACTGTCTTAGGCCACCTAGTTATTACATGAACCATAGTCTGACGTAATATATAATAGACACTACTTTTAAATTAACCAGTAAAATGTGTACCGCAGATGAGTGAAGTCACTAGAGACCACCTTTAGTATTCTTATGTAGTCAGTCAGTCGTGATGTGATATTTGCCAAACATAGACAAGACGAAATTCCCTCATTTTGTTTGATGACAAAAGTAAAAACCATCTGTGCTGTTTGGTATACTAGCCAGCTTGCCTTGTCACCAGAAGGTAGTGGGTCCGAATCTAAGTGGGTGGGTGCGTAATGCCGATGATTTTCAAACTAGGCGCATGAAACAGCTGTCCGGTATTCTGGTATTGGTTTTCAATGGTTCTCCAACTAATATCAATCCGTGGTCAAACTCGTAAAATGAAGTAAATTAAAACAGGCATATAGCACATGCTCCTTATGGATAAAGACAGTAAGACTTCTTTATTCTTAGCCTTTCGACACCTAGTTCTAGTGAAAATCAACTGAAGTATCTTACAAAATTACCAGTTGTTTAAATGAAGGGTGTTAATACCGATCGAATGTCAGGAGGTACTGGTACATTTCACACACCGTATTAACCAGTCAATATATAGTATACTTTTTGTAATACAAAGATATTTTGATTGAAGAGGCCCACTAACGGCTTAAAAGACCGACTAATGAACTAAGAATATCATTTTCATATGTGACTGGATGTCCAGAATTCACCAGATGCTCTGTTATCGAACTGTACACTGTTCTTCCTTTGCTATCCATGCTGGATAGTGTTTCCCCGTGCATTTTATAAGTGGACGCATGAAACAGCCAATGTACTCAGCTCCACGCGAGCATGTGAATTTGTTTACGCATACTGAAGTGACCTAATGCGACAGCTTGTCTTTCACATGTTGTGTGAGTAGTTTATTCCAGGAGAATGTTATTCGTAGGCTGGCGGCAAAGTATTTTATTTCACTGAGAGACTTTGAAAGCCGTCTGCGGAGAATTTCTGCTTTAGTATCACTTTTAAATTCGAAGTTCAATATTACCACCTTTTTGGAGGCGACTTGGATCTTTTCATTTATTTTCCTTAGTTTTAGATTCTTGTCTATAAATCTGGGTGGTAATCAATTTTCTATCAAGGTCCTTCAGACTCCTCAGCGCAAATCTCTTAGGTCCTCGAGGAAAGCGAGTATATTAGGCTTCTCCTTCTGCTTGAAGGCACACAACTTTGAAAGTTAATAAACTGTCCGTTTCATGTGGGCTTTTTGTAGATGAAGACATTTTGCTAAGAATATCCATCTACAAAACGTCCACATGGAACAGGCAGGCATAGACAATATAAACTGGTTTCACAGGAGCAAGTGAACTGAGAAGTAAATCAAAGGTAAGTGAATCCTTTACTTATATTTCTTCCTCATAACATTATTCCTGCTTATTTCTGTTTTATAATGGAAATTTGCAGACATATTTTAACCATTCGGTATCTTCAGTTTCAATAATGTCCAATCATGAGGTCAAATGACGAGAGAAGAACTCCTGTAAATGCATCATATACAGTATTTAATACACAAATATCAGTTCTAAGTGAAACTTGTAGACAGTTCTCGACTGTTAAAATCACAAATTGATTGGTGTAAAATAACAGGTTCCGAATTTGGGGAACATATACTTAGTTTTTTTTTTACAAAGACGAAATTTGCAAGCAAACTTAGATCTATCTGCGGGAGCAGTTACATTGGAAGGACAGAAAGAAGGGCATATCTACGATTTTCTGAACATGTACCAAAAAGCTTACGTCTAAAGGGAACAAATGCTTTAAATAGTGCCATCACCAGGCATCTTCTCGACACGGGTCATGAGGTGGACGTTGAAAAGTCGTTCAAAATTATCAATAAGCAAAATAGATCAATTCTCCTTAAGTTTGCTGAAGCCATTTCCATCAAGCGCATGAAACCTGATTTATGCGTCCAGAAAGAAGCGGTTATCAGCCTTTCTTTGCCCTGGTAACTGGATAATTTCACCTCTCTTTCCTCCGAATGTGAAATGCTAAAAGTTTCCATTGTGTTTGATTATTATTGTTCGGAATAGTGGTTAATATTGCATATTTATATATGTATATATTTTTAGTGTA